ATGAGTATGTTCATTTCCGTTGGATAGAGCCATCTAGCGACTTCGCCATTTTTTAAAAATAGTGGTTACCTATTGGAATAAATGAAATTTTTCTCTCATTCTGTCGTTTTCATAAATCTTCATGTGCATTTCGCACGTACTCATTAACAAGCTTTTACATGTTCAGTAGAGCATACAGAATCTGGCCCCGACAAAATCGAATTTCTCCCAACATCTATAAGTCGATAAGAGCATAGACGGTTATGTAGGATAATTACTCATTATAACACAAGTTTTAGCATAAAAATGCGCGCTTCTGCATAAAAAAAAACATTTGTTTTTTTAAGCCTTACAAATACTCACATTCATCATTATTCTCATACTCGAATTTTTTTTTCTAACAACAAATATTTCTTTTGAAAACGTAAAAAGCACACGTTGTCAAGGATAAAATAGGTATGTTTTTAAAACTGCATCTGTCAGAGAAATGGTTGAAGAGAAGTTTCACATAAACCATTCCACAATCAATTAGACTTCATAGTTAGCTGAAATAGTATTCATTATGTGTCAGTTTATCACTTCAACCTTTTTTCTACATTTGACTCATTATGTTTATCAGAGTCACTTGGCAAGTTTGGCATATTACCACCCCGTGAAAAATGTAAGATTATGCCAGATTATAATCGGATTTTTGTGCAACAAAATCAAAATTATAATCGATTGAAATCTTCTAAATAAAAGATAATTTGAGTTTTGAATTAAAAATAATCTTCGAAATCAAGTATAAGTATAATCAAAATCGGATAGTTTCAGTTAAAATCATATCAAATAAAAACTATATGATTTTGATCAAAATTCTGAATTTAGAAGATTATTTTTTGATTCAAAAACCGACTTATTGTTGATTTAAATGATTTCAATCGATTATAATTTTGATTTTGTTCCACAAAAATCCGATTATTACCCTGCCATTTTTCACTTAATCAATCAGTAATTATATAGACATTTGACATATAATATATGTGCGAAAACAAAGAGTCGTATGATACTGAATAAATATGCAGAATATTAGAGAATTTCAAATTCTATTAGAATACGTGATCATTTTGTTTTTCAAAATACTCTTTCTTGAGTGATGATGGAATTTTAATTAAGAAGATAGAAATAGAACTGATCCATGTGATTCGAACCGGAAAAAGACCGCCGGTATTTACCGGTAGTAACAAAACTACTGGCGGTATACCGGCACGATTAGGGTACGAATCTACTGATCCGCAGTCTTACGAATCTAAAAATACATGTAAATTACCATAGGCCGCAAATTGGTTTAGTGAATCTACAGGGTGTCCGGAAATTCATCTACCAAAAAGAAAATTATATATCTCCATTACGGCTCGAGCAAACGTGCTGATTTTCTTTATCAGTGATAGAGGCATGTACCAAGTTTATATCTATAAAGACATGTCCAGGTAGACCCTTTGTAAAATATCAGTATTGACCTCAACAAGAAAAATTCACCTTTTCACAGTTAGAAAAAAAAAGTCACTTTACCGAAAAAAATTGAATAGCTCCGCTACGGCTCGAGCTAACGAGCTGATTCTTTTATCAATGATAGGGTCACGTTCAAGCTTTATATTCATAAAGACATGCCTAGAGAGATCCTTTGTTAAGTATATTAGTTTTTTTTGTGGAACTCACATATATTTTCGAAGAAAATAGTGAGTGTAAGTTTTAAGTTCGAGGTTTTGCGGCTCCCCCCCCCCCCCCCCCCACCCCCCCCCCCCCCCC